CCCCAAAACCCCAAAACCCCAAAACCCCAAAACCCCAATTTAGAATCTTGAGATTGAATCAACTATTTATGTAACTTATTTGCTTTGATATCTATCTCAAGATGGTACTGAGACGTGTTGCTTAAGTTTACCTTTTAGTTCTCCAATAGCCCTTCATCTAAATTTACATCATAATCAAGATTTGATAGGAAGAATGGTAATGCTATCTTCATCGTCAGTTTTGCGAATGTTTGTCCAGGACTTCCTCTCAATCCAGTGGAAAATGGAACAAAGCTGAGAGGGTCTCTAGCCTTGCCTGTTGTTGGAGAGTTGAAGTACTCTGATTCAGGGTCAAATCTTTCTGGAATAAACTTCATAGGTTCATGCCAATGCTTTTTATCAAGGTGGAACCCAGCTACTCCAAGGGTAAAGAAGTTTCCTTTCTTAATTGGAACTCCACAAATTTCTATGTCTTCCAACGACTTGTAAGATACAGTCTCCACTGTTGGAACATCAAGCCTCAACAGTTCTTTGATAACATACTCAGCATATTCACAATTCTCAAACCCTTCAACAGTGACTTTGTCTTTTTGTAGATCACCATTCTTAGTGATTCCTTCTTGTTCGTAAAGCTTCACAAGTTTATCATAGACTTCAGGATACTTTTTGATGTAGTAAAACAAAGCTACAACTGAACGAGAAGTTGTATCCGAACCAGCGAATAGTTGCAACAACATGTCCTGAATTAATTATTCCTGAGTTCATACATTTTCATTTTTAAGTTTCAGATAAACGGCATCTTCATCATCACAAGTTTTCAAAAAATCTTGCAATCTCTGTGTCAATCTATCAACATTTCTGACAATCCTTGTATAAGGAGGGAGAAGATTGTAGTCATTAATGAAAGGAAACAAAGTTCCAAGTAAGTTCATGTATCCTGAAAAGGTATCTTGAAGAATTTTTTGAATTATTGTTTGCATATCCATCTGACCATTAGCATGTTCATAATCAAATAAATAATTGTAAAGATCGAATTCTTTACCAAACAAGACCTTTGTCATAAACAAGAATTCTACACCAGCAAATTCTTTAGTCAGGTTGACCTTACTGCCTGGCTTCCATCTGCTCAAATCTTTTCCATAGCACTGAGAAACTTCTGGATGTACCCAGATGCATAGTTGATTCCCATCGCTTTCATGAGGCTATTTCTTCTATCTCTCCAATTCTTATTCGATTTCATACTTGTGAAGCTTTTCGGAAATATTTAGAGATTTTAAATCATCTCATTTCTTATATAAAGCTAATATTTTCCATACAATCTTAATCAAGAAGTCATTATCTCTATCAAACTTTCAGGGGTTAGCTTCTTTAATTCAGCTAGAGCTTTGGTTGAGAAGACCTCAAAAATTGGGTCTGGCCCTATGAATTTAACATACAAATCTGATTTATTCTCTGACAAGGCTATTTCATAGTAATGCTAATAAGCAAAAGCGTTAATAGCAATGTTATTCTCAACAATAGCATAATCTCGTTTAAAAAGAGTTGCATCTGCGCCCATCTGGACATTCTGGTACCTTCCATGCCTCCTCCTGACCATTTCCCTCCACACCCATATCGCTTACCTAAAATCCCCCTTCTACAGCCACAAGGATGTCTCCCATTTATTCGCCTAATTTATTTACCCCTTCAATATTGGTGAAGGTCAAGGGGTTTTGGGGTTTTGGGGTTTTGGGGTTTTGGGG